GAGAGAGAGAGAGAGAGAGAGAGAGAGAGAGGAGTTGAGGAAAGCCAGCCATATTCAAAAGAAGAGGGGAACATTCAAAAGAAGAGGGGAACCGTGTTGTGGTGGTCCCTCTCTGCTGCACTGGGAGCAAGTCAGAGGAGCTGGTGAAAGGATGAAGCAAATAATAATAAGACATTCAAATCTCGAAGGTGGATGATTAAACCACCAACGAGCCTCAGGCTGGCTCTCAGTTGGTACACCCACGAACCGTTGAAATGCAGATCCAAGTTCGAACCCAGATGCAATCAGTTGAACAGAATAAATTTAATAAAATAATCCCGAATTAGCCTGGGGCCGGTCAGTTCAATGATGATATCATTGATATCCCTTTTTTTCCCAAAAGGGTGACGGCCTTGAGATAAGTTAGATAACATCGTTGAGCTAACCGGCCTCAGGTTAATTCCGAATTACATCTTGTGCATCTGATTGCATCAGGATACGAACTCAGGTCTGTATTTCAATTCAACAGGTCATGGGTGTACCAACTGAGCTAGGCTTATTGGTAAATTACGATATCTCACGGCCGTCACCCTTTATAAATAAAAATTATAAATAAATAAAAAATAAATAGTAAATTATAAATTGAACTTTTTGGACTGAGGGGAAGTGATAAAAAAATAAAAAATAAATAGTAAATTATAGCGAAGATCGAAATTTGTGGAGCAGATAAGTCTAAGAACTGAGGGGAAGTGATAAAAATCAGCAACTGTTGAGACTCTTGAGAGGTTAAGAGGATGTCCACTGAGATTATGGATTGACAAGATTCTTGCACAGATTGTTCAATGTTAATTCAGTGAAGAGTGGAGCTACTTTCTAATGCACCAAAGGGTAGGACTGCCACCTAAAGCATCTGGAATCCTCCAACTGCCCATTAAACACAATGCTGTTCCATTATGGCCAGTATGGGGACGTCAGCACGTCCAGCTGCAGATGGACAGCCACGGTCACAAAGGTCGTTTGATCAGTGGCAACAATGGGCCTCGCTCCACTACTCACAAAATGCGCAGAAAAATGAGTATGAATCTTCCGCTAGGACATGGAAGCGTACACTGCCATATTTTTTGTCTTTTCTGCATGTGGTGAGTAGTGCAGCGAGGCTCAATCTCAGAATTCGAGAGCAATTAAGTAGCCGGTGCATCCAGATTACCAGCGTATCGTTTGACTGCATTGTTTGGTTTCATTCACATCATTTCAACTTTCAAACGACGCCTTCCTCCTTCGAGTCACACTCTTTGAGCCTTTTTTACTTTTACTACGTTGACTGACTCGACAAGAAAAAACAACACGGCTGATTCTGACGCATGTGGCCCTCACTCTTTCCCCTCTTCTACCTTATGGGATGGCTGTGTTCTGGACAAAGTATTCTGCATGTGCGTTTACTGACGCAAACCATCTCTACTTATCTTATGTGATGTGCAGCAAAACCTGCTGGATCGAAGCCTTCGGCTCAAACCATCACGTGCATTACGGATGTGCAATTCAGCTGCCATTTGCAACGATTGCAGGTGTGGCGAGGTTTTGACTTAGGTTCTGACTACATTACAATTCTGGCAGAAAAAAATTCTGTCTTCCTAACCAGGTTGCAACTAGCGTGTGTTATTCTAACAGAAAAAAACCGTCTTTCTGACTACGGTGTTCACCCGAATAGAACGCCCGGTCATTATAGCTGCATTTGGCACAACTTTCAGTCCAGATGCAGCGATAATTACCGGGCATTTTATTCGGGTGGAAGACGGGTACTAACCAGGTAACATTGTTCTAACTAGGCCCCTTACTAGGTAACTAGCTCTTAACTAGGTAGCCATTACGTCAAGAATGTCTGTTTTCCTAAATAGGTTGCCATTCTTGTTCCAACAAGTTTGTCACTCTGACATAAAACTGCCTTTCTAATTACAAAGGCTGACGCACGCCTCTCTCTCTCTCTCTCTCTCTCTCTCTCTCTCTCTCTCTCTCTCTCTCTCTCTCTCTCTCTCTCTCTCTCTCTNTCTCTCTCTCTCTCTCTCTCTCTCTCTCTCTCTCTGTGTGTGTGTGTGTGTGTGTGTGTGTGTGTGTGTGTGTGTGTGTCTGTGTGTGTGTGTGTGTGTGTGTGTGTGTCTTGTACATCCACCTCTGCCTTGTAGACTGACCATAGATGCATCTGACATGGCTGTGTAAAGTGCACTTACCGTAACAAGCCACCAATGCACCCCGTCCTCATCGGTATTTGCTGTAGCGCCTGAGACTCCGAAAGTCCACAGACCCATCCATGCTAGTTCCAAGGCTAGGCCCACTAAGGCGGCAGTTGTCGCAGCTGGCCTCAGCGCCAAGACGGCCATGGCCTTTTTTATTACTGTTATCGCAAATGGCACTCTGGAAACGACAAAAAAAAGCAACATACGCCCCGGGAGGAACAGCATCATAAGCAAAGTCAGCAAGTCTACCCAATGAAATTTCTTGTGATCTTCATTTCGGGCAACCTTTGACTCGGGCTGTATTTCGCAATCGACGCAATGCACCTTCTTTGGATGCATTTCGGGACATAACTCAAAGATTTTATTGGATGATGATGATGATGATGATGATGATGATGATGATGATGATGTCATGACATCCTCAGCAACACATCACGAATAAGCCGAAAAGGCAGAATTGGGCAAGTAAGCGCAGACAGAACGGAACTTCTTTTTCTTTTCTTTCTTTTTCTTTTCTTTCTTTTTCTTTTCTTTCTTTTGCAAGGAATATGAGCGAGAGCGATAGACAGAAATCCAACTTGCAAAATCACGAAGAAGCTCAGATAGTAATGAACCAAGCAGAGAGTACAATGCACCAAGATACTGTCCTAATAAGAGCATCACAATGAACTCAAATGTCAATGTCGCCACTCTCTGGTCACACCAACACTGTATCCAATGTCGTACTTACTGTCTGGTGCCCAGTGCCCAGCCTAGCCTACTCAGCTTATCTAGCCTATCTACGCTCTTGCAACTGGATCACTCTGAAGTCGAAGACCAACGTACGTGACGTCAACACCAATGCCGGTCACCAGCATACACAAGGGAAGTTTTCTCTCCTCTCCTCATCACCCCTCGTCTTCCCACAGCATGCGCCTCCTACCCGAAGACCACCTTCGCCATCACCTGCCCTGCACCCCAGCTGCCCGGCTATGGCTGCTGTGCGCCTGCTGCCTCAGCAGCGCCCCTCTCACCACCGCGCGCGTGCGCGCCTCCGACCAGCAGCACCCATGCAGACACTAGCGTCACAACGCAGCAGCGTGTCCGCATTGCCTGCCTAGGCCAGAATGCCACTGCCAGGGGCTCACACTTTCCTTTATGGAAAGTGTGTCGCTGCTGGCTGTCCTGGCCAGGTGTGGGGGGGCCCAGTAGCTTCAGTTGGGCCCCAAGTGTCTGCGCCCAGGCCCAGTTTCCGAAACTGGTCTGGGCCTCGTGCAGTTGGGCTCGTTCAGGCAGACACCCAGCCTCCAAGTGTTTGCAGCATTCTCATTGGCTCACGGCCCATGTGTGACAACAATGCTGCTTCCTCATTGGGCCGTAACCAGTCCGTGATGTGTCGGCCTCACACAGCGTGTGCCCAGGGTGCAACCGCCCTGGGCTCTACTGTACAGCGCAGCCCCTTTGTTTTTTTAAAAGAGCCTGGAGGTTCACGTTGTGCTGTAACCAACTGGCGTGCTGCAACTGTCTGAGTACCCTCATATGGAAAAATTGTCGAGAACAGGCCTCATGTGGATATTCAGGCCCGCCTTCACTTAGGGCGGGCACGAGGTTTGCTGGGGGCCACAGCCCAGAACACTTTATGCCTGATAAGGACTCTGCAAAACTCATTCCTCGCACTTTTCTTTCTTTTCATTGTCGATCAAAACAAAGCTTCAAACTTCACCGGTTCTATTGGTACGGGGGGAGCTCCTCTCCTGGAACATGGGCCCAGTATCCAAAGCAGGTCCAGTCTCCCTCATAACTATTCCCAACTATAAGTACCAAGTTACAACCAACTAATTGAATAAAAGTTTAAAATCAGTCCCATTTTCCCATAGCTATCAAAGGGTTTTTTTTCCTTTTATTTTAACAAAACTTTGAGGACCCTGGTCCCTCGGCAGAGATGGAAAAGGCCTTGCCCGCCCTAAGTGAAGGCGGGCCTGCAAACGTGCGTCAAGGCCTGAGTACAGGCCGGTGTGACCACGCTAAATGGCTGTCAGAATCTATATGCGGGCCTATATCATGGATGTGGCCTTTTTGTAAGTGCGAGGACTGAGCCCTAGCATAGCCCTTACGGGGCTCACCCTTGTCTAGGCTGGGGCCCTCAGCAAGGCACGCACCCGCCCTAAGTGAAGGCGGGTCTTAAATTTCACGTGAGGCCTATTTTCGCCATTTCTACTGTGGGAGCCCGACAGTTGCAGCACGCCAGTTGGTTACAGAGCGACGTGAGCCTTTCCAGGCTCTCTCCGGAAGCTGCAGCCTCCAGGGGCAGTTGAGCCCAGGGCTCATAGAGTCGAGCCCCTGGGCGTGTGCATCCAGAGGTCGACACATCACACAACTGCCGCGGACCAATTGCAGCATTGTAATAACACCCTGGCCGTGAGCCAATGAGATCGCAGCAAACACTTAGAGGCTCGTGGACTCCTTGGGCGTGCGCCCAGGTCAGTATCTGCAACTGGGGCCTGGGCACAGACACTTGGGCCCGACTGGAAGCTACTGGAAACTCGACCAGCCAGGCCAGAGCTCGACAAAGCAGAGCTCCCTTTCCATAAAAGAAAGTGAGCACGGCCTGCCGGGAGATGCTGGCTGGCAAGCAGATGCGGCAGCACTGCTGCTCTGCCGAGCGAGTGTGGGGGACACTAGCTCCAGCCAGGGCGCACTCGGCCGCTAAGAGGCGAGGGGCGCTGCTGCGGCAGCGGGCGCACGGCGGCCATAGTCGGGCTGCTGGGTGCAGAGTGGGTGATGGCGATGGTGGTCTTTGGGTGTCGGGGATGCACACTGTGGGAAGTCGAGGGGTGATGGTGAGAGGAAAGAGATACGTACCTGGTGTTTGCTAGCAGTCTGCATTGGCTATGTCATCACGTATATTGGTCTTTAGCATACTTGCGGCGCATGTCGTGCGCGTAGATGTGTATAAGAGACAGGAGAGAGAGAGAGAGAGAGAGAGAGAGAGAGAGAGAGAGAGAGAGAGAGAGAGAGAGAGAGAGAGAGAGAGGGAACTGCCGAGAGAAGCGGATGGAAAATGCAGATTGGAAAGAACCAAGACAAGAATAAGAGTAGTGGAAGGGGGAACTGGATTAATAGCAATTCCCAAGAGAAAGTGAATGCAGAATCATGTATGGAGGATTGAAAAACAGCCAGGGGCAATGAACAGGGAAACAAATGGGAAGAGACAAGCAGGAACACAGAGGAACAGGCCAAAAAAAAAAAAAAAAAAAAAAAAAAAAAAAAAAAAAAAAAAAAAAAAAAAAAAAAAAAAAAAAAAAAAAAAAAAAAAAGGTGGGCAGAAAGGAACACAAGGAAAACCAGGCACAACAACACAGTTTAACACACAAAATCGAGAACCAAATAGCGACCAGAAACAACGAACGTAAAGAAGGTTGAAGAGAAAAACATAAACAAAGAAGAACAAAGAATACAAAAAGGAGAGGGAAGGTGAAAAACAGATGGAGAGAGGAACAGGGGGCAGTGCGGCACCGGAAGGATGAGAAAAATAATAGAACAGCAAGAGAAGGGGAAGACGTTGAGATGAAAGACAAAAGGAGAGAGAAGACGAAAAACGATTTTTAGAAGGAAAAGACGGGACGGAGAAACAGAGAATATTCTCATAGAGGAAGAGGGAGTGTGTGTGTGTGTGTGTGAGAGAGAGAGAGAGAGAGAGAGAGAGAGAGAGAGAGAGAGAGAGAGAGAGAGAGAGAGAGAGAGAGAGAGNGGAGGAGGAACACTTGACAAAAAGATGACTGGTAGACTTCTGAAGTTGTGTGCAATTACCAGGGCCTGCCAATCATTGGAGGGAAAAAAAAGTGAAAAAAAGAAGGGCCTGCCAAACGTGTTGATACAATCCCAAGGCTGGCATGCGGATCCACAGTGACGTGCAAATTGAATTTTCAAATCCATCTTTTTTCAAAAGGCTATTTCTTTTAAGCCCAATCACCTGACAGGATGGCCCTTTATTATCATTACAGTATTACGGGGAACCGCACAGCAGTCACATCCGTGTTCATGCCTCCAAGGAGGAGGAGGAGGGAACATGCAGGAGCTGCACCTGACCTGCAGGTGCGCGATAGCAGCCAGGGGCCAGCCTATAGCGCCAGGGACCATGCCAACCTGACCCCAATCCCTGTGCCTCCCCTAAGGTCCCCTTCTACGAACATCAGCAGTATCTGATGAATGCCGATTCTAGGGAAGAGGGGGCAACAGACTACCTCTAGATCGCGACCACCCAGTATGCCCACGTAGGTACATGAGGCAAATGGGAATCGAACCCATGACCTCCTGGGTGCCACTTGTGTGCCTTAACTGAGCTAGGCCTCTGACAAATTCAAAATGATCTGATATTCAGTAAATCCTGTTAACCAAAACAAAAAGGACAAAAGAAAAAGAATGGACAATCAGATCCAAAGTATGGTACAAATCCAAATTTCAAACTGCCCTGACGTCACGATCCCGGCAGACAAGTGGAGTGGCACATCCAGACTGACCTACAGAAGCTGTCTGACAGACAAATCCAAACTCACATGCAGACTGAATGACATCCAAACCCACGTTCAGATCAGCAAAGCGCACTGGCAGATGTGTATAAGAGACAGCATCCAGACTGACCTACAGAAGCTGTCTGACAGACAAATCCAAACTCACATGCAGACTGAATGACATCCAAACCCACGTTCAGATCAGCAAAGCGCACTGGCATACGAATCTAAACCGCCGTGCTTCACGAAAAAAAAACAATAATAATAAACTAACATGCAGACCTTTGAAGACCGAAGTGGGTCAGTCAGTCCTAAGAGATGTGGAAATTTTGTTGTGCTTGCCTGAAAAGCCAGCGGTGCAAAGCTACCGTGCGTGGGATTATGACTAAACGCCTCTACGTCAGAATCTGAGCTTGCAGTGATGGTGACGGCCTCCTCGAATGACACATGACTGTCGATAGGGCCAGACCGTCTGGCCCCAAAAGCAAACTGACATGCAGACTGATTGACATCCAAACTCACATTTGGATCACGTTAAAAAAAAA